TTTTTTCAGGCTTCTTCTTTCCAATTGCTTAAATTGGAAAATTAACTGCAATGATCATTCTTCACTTTCACCTACAACTGCAGTTCATATATGAATTATTTCATATAAACTTCACAAAAAAAATCGCCAGCATTACTATAGTTACCAATAATTATTATCATAGCACACTGTAACCATATCATAGTCTAAAAAACCTTACTTTTTCAGTTTCTTTTTCTTGTATTTCGCTTGTGAAAACTGTGTTCTCTCTTTAAAGGTGGCACTGTTCTCCACAAGGTGTTCAACAATATCCTGGAAAAAAATCAACAGTTACTCATAAACCTCATTTGAGACGACATACCAGTGCTTCCACTACTGTCAATGAGACATGGCACCTGCACAAGAGGTGGTAGGTATTGCATAGTGAATTGCCACCAGCTATTACGAAATTAGTTTTCACAAATTCTTCTTCTAGTTGTTAAGGGATTGTTCTATTGCTCCAGGTGAGGATAGCACAGTTACATTGTACATGTTAGATGTAAATGTAGTTGTATACACATATTGACGGGAAAGTTTAATTTTATCAGGTGGATGGTACTGTACAGATGTACACTTTATCTGGGCTCACAAGTTTATAATTGTATAATGTATCTAATGGCTTTTGGTTTACCTTGCCACTAACTCCTTGCGCTTTCAAATTCATAATTTCATCTCTGGACAACTTTTGTGAAGTACCGTCATTTTGAAGAAACTGATTATTTTTATCATCCTCTGCAAGACACGAAATTGAAACATAAAAAACTATTTAATTTATTCAAATAACCTGAGATTGTATAAGTGGTGTAACTATCTGGCAAAAATATTTGCCAATTCCAATTTATCCTGATAAATGAATGTTCCTTTCTTAAACATTAACATTAACATACACCTCCCCTGTTAAGCAGTACTTGAAATTCTACATCTGCAGTGCAAACCTGGACCCCAAATAATTTGCAAGTTTTGCCAGACCTACATTGTAAAGACTACATGTATCAGTAAGAATAAAAAGTATGGCCACAAATGAGTGCTGTTCAAAGACGTGAATCTATTTCTGACAATTTGCCACATTCAAGAACAGTAATGCTGTAAACACTACATAAATTACCACCAAGAAGCTTTTTCTTTTCAGTTATCAAGAAAAAGTTTAACATGCGCATATTTGTAGACTATGAGTAGTCCCTCTTTCGCTTAGTACATCTTATATGACACAAAAGAAAACTGGTATCGCAGAGGTCATGGGTTCCAATCCATTAAAGTGCCACTGAAACGAATTTTTTGTACGTGAGACTTTTGCTTAGTAATAAAGTTTCAACCTTACTTGGAAACACTGTAAACATTTTTTTTCGCATACGGTAAGCGAAAACTGCTTTTTCAGCCATTCGAAGTTGGCTGGTTAAGTCCAAAATTGGCGGCCATTTTGGCGCGGCTAAAACAGCCTAGTGACGTCACTGGTTGTATTACTCTTATGCCGCGCTGAAAATTTAGAGTGATTATGGGAGAAGAGATTACTGTTCGAAGCCCCCCAAAAAACATCTTAAGGATATCTCAGAGCTGTCAAGTAGGTAATAACAGTAGCCTTAGACATGAAGAGGTTGAGAGTCGACCCTGGGGCTTTCCTGTCTATTTAATTGGATATTTGCAGGATATTTTACGTAAGCAAGCAAACGAGTGGGAGTTCTTAGATTGCAAAATGATCGGGACTCTTGGTGAAATGGCCAGCACTCAATTAAACAATATCTACACTCATAAAGTAAAAAAGACATGAAAACAAGAGAATGGCTTTTGAAAATATTATCCAGACTGCTGCTGCACGAATCTCAGCAACAACACTTTGAGTTTTCGAGTCGCTTCACTTCGAGGAAACTGGACGTTTTGTGAGTTTCACAGCGGACAAGATTTTGCCACAGTCACCTTTAGTCCAGTTGTATCAGCTACATCCTACAAGTTATCACAACAGCAACAATTTAAGAAACCCTCTTCTTTTCTATGAGGGAGCGAATTTAAACTATAAAGGTAAACTAAGCTGCCATGACCCTACAGGTATGTTTTCAGGAANTAAAACAAAATTTCCATACATGAGATTTTTGCTTAGTAATAAAGTTTCAACCTTACTTGGAAACACTGCAGGCTTTTTTTTCGCATACAGTAAGCGAAAACTGCTTTTTCAGCCGTTCGAGGTTGGCTGGTTAAGCCCAAAATTGGCAGCCATCTTGGTGCGGCCAAAATGGCCTAGTGACGTCACTAGTTGTATTACTCTCATGCCGCACTGAAAATTTAGAGTGATTATGGGAGAAGAGGATACTGTTTGAAGCCCCCCAAAAAACATCTTAAGGACATCTCAGAGCTGGAAAGCACATAATAACAGTGGCCTTAGACATGAAGAGGTGGAGAGTCGATCTTGGGGCTTTTCAGTCTATTTAATTGGATATTTCCAGGATACCACTATTTTATGTAAGCAAGCAAACGAGTGCGAGTATTTAAATCGCAAAATGATCGGGACACTTGGTAAAATGGCCAGCACTCAATTAAACAATATCTACACTCATAAAGTAAAAAAGACATGAAAACAAGAGAAAGCGGCTTTTGAAAATATTATCCGGAAATGCTGCTGCGTGAATCACAGCAACAAGACTTCGAGTTTTGGAGTCGCTTCGCTTCAAGGAAATTGCAGACGCTTTGTGAGTTTCACTGTGGACGAGATTGTGCCACAGTGACCTATAGTCCAGTGGCATCTGCTACATCCTACAAGTTATCACAACAGCAACAATTTAATAAACCCTCTTCTTTTATATGAGGGAGCGAATTTAAAACTATAAAGGTAAACTAAGCTGCCATGACCCTACAGGTATGTTTTCAGGAAACGAGAGAAAGTGTGACATTGCTGGGGCGAAAGGTCATATATGCAAATTAGTTCAAATTCTGTTTAATAAACCTTCGAAAGGAGTGCAAACTAGTGATGTTTCAACAAATTGCTTTGAACTTGGATACTATTAAATGAAGATCATAGACATAAGTATGCGCTGAAGAACTCAAAGTAATCCATTAGCTGTGAAATGTTGCAATTGGGAGATATGTGTAAAAGAGAAGCGAAATTCCCACTTTGTTTACACTGATACGTATGCGGCGATAAAGCAAGCCCTGCTGTGGATCACAATATTTAAAGATACTCTTTGAATTGTCTACCACAACAACTCTCATTTATTAGTTCATAAAAAGATGACCTCTGTGTGCAAAGAAGCACTCGACTCAAAGCTTGTGGAGTGCAGATGGCTGATGCGCTTACCGCTTTTAATGCAGTAAAGTTGCCAAGGATATATTTGAACCTTGTTAATAGACCTTAGATAAACATGAGAATCCAAATTTCAGAACCAGGCTGAAAACAGACGACAATGTATCGTGTTTAGGCTTCTGGGTGTGATATAAAAGTTGCCTCACTCATCTTCAAAGTCTCCAATCAAGTGCTCAAGATATTCAAAAAGTATGCTGAGCTGTTCTAATCTGTAGCATTCATTTTGGTGAATCTTACTACACTCTTTGGCACCCTCCAACATTTATGATGTATTTCCTTTCAAGGCTGGACAGAAATTAGAGGCTAGAAAACTAGTAGGTATCGACAATATGAAGAATAAACTTGAATAAATCAAGTGAAAACAAGGGAGAATCTATAACGCTTCTTGCGTGAATACAGCCAGTGATGTCACAAGGTCCTTAAACTCAGTTTGAGAGCCCGGACACAGTTTTGCTCCAAAAAGTCGATTTCAGCAGCTAAAAAAAGCAGTTTCCATTAGGATTTGACAGAAATAAAGTTCACCATTATTTTAAGCCCGTTTGAAACTATAGATTGGGCTAATAAAAGAGAGTATGAAAATTTCGTTTCAGTAGCACTTTAAGTTTACTAGCCAAGATCCATTGCACCAAGTACGTGTAAGTTTAATAATTGAATATCTTTATAGTGTTAGTCTCATTTCCTTCTCTATTCTCTGATACTATTTTTGTTTTCTTTTATTTGTGTCCAAATCAAGCCTGACTTTTTGTCACAAACATTTTTTGTAACTAATCTTTTCCCACAATCACTGGGCACAGAACCAAAAACGTGTTACCAATGAAATGTGAAATCCTAGGGCTTGCATATGTATAATTAACCATAATAACATGCGAAAATATATAACAAAGGAAGAAGGCATAATGATAGCAATGCCTAAAGCGAAAGTGTTAAATTGAATGTGATTGACTTGCTGATTTAAATTGAGCTTTTTCCAGTTAATGTGCAATGCCTCCTTGAGGTTGAGTTAAAATAATGTCATGGAGGCAGAATCAAGGATTTCAAGGCAATAAACAGGGCTTCTGATAGGTCATGGAAAAAACAGCCAATTTTGTGGGAAATTCATGGAAATTTTCGGAGCAAATTTTGCTGACAAACAGTCAGTAAAAAATGGCCAATTTTGTGGGAATTTTCTGGGCAAATTTTGTTGGAAAGCAATTGGTTTTACACTGTTTTCATGAACATTTTTAACTTAAAAAGACAGCAGTTTTGCCATTTTTTTGGAAAATGATAGAGCAGTTTTCA